GTGTGTGTGTGTGTGTGTGTGTGTGTGTGTGTGTGTGTGTGCGCGTGTGTGTGTGTGTGTGTGATTGAGTGTGTGTGTGTGTGATTGAGTGTGAGTGTGTTTGTGTATTTGAGTGTGTGTGTGAGTGTGTGTGTGTGAGTGAGAGTGAGAGAGTGTGTGTGTCTGTGTCTGTGAGTGTGTGTGTGTGATTGAGTGTGTGTTTGAGTGTGTGTGTGTGTGTGTTAGTGTGTTGATTTTGCACTGTAGATGTTTTAGAGTTTCTCCCCCCACTGCTGTGCAATTTTTTTCTGCATTGAGGGGATTTGTAGATTGTACACACAAAAATGTTCTGTATTTTGTGTGTGAGTGAGTGTGTGTGTGTGTGTGTGTGTGTGTGAGTGAGTGTGTGTTTGAGTGTGTGTGTGAGTGTGTATGTGCGCGTGTGTGTGATTGAGTGTGTGTTTGAGTGTGTGTGTGTGTGTGTTAGTGTGTTGATTTTGCACTGTAGATGTTTTAGAGTTTCTCCCCCCACTGCTGTGCAATTTTTTTCTGCATTGAGGGGATTTGTAGATTGTACACACAAAAATGTTCTGTATTTTTTCCCCATTTCCCATTCATTTGCTATGGTCAGTCATTTTTGACCGAAGACCACGAATATGACAATATTTTTTTTTACCACCACTTAGCTTTTTCGAATCATGCCCTCAATTTTTTTGTGTGTTCAAATACCAAGTGCCATAAGAGTCACCAAGGTTCGTACCATTCTGGTGAAGCTACGATTTGTAAAAATTCTAAATATAAAATTCTCCGGTCAGAAGTGACCGTAGACCGCACAAGGTTAAAATCTGATCGCAAACTTTTGAATGGTAGTGTAGGTATTATTTAATTTCTTTAAGCATGTGTTTTGCTAATCATTACATTTGCATCTGAGCTTTAAACTATGGCATGTGCGTGTGATTCCTCAGGCAGCTCACGCTGGTGATTCACTCGTGTCATCATATGACCCTTAAACCCTCAAATCCTCATGAGGAGACAACAGGAAGTTTGTTTTTCCGCACAATAAGCACAATTCTAGACTGAGCTGCTTCTTTGTGATCAGTGCATTGACTGCTCTCTTAGACAGAAGCATACGGTTTGTTTCTGTGTTTAACAAAGACATTTACAGTATTTGGCATTCGACAGTACTGGTCAGTAGTAATGCCACCAGACGTCCTTTTAAAGGTTAAAACAGCATCAAACACACTATTAAATTATCCGCTCATTTGACCCATGTCTGCAGGGTAACTGTGTTTTAAGGGAAAGGGCAGGACGAATTAGCAACAATTAGGTTTTGTCTCTAAGTTGAACATACGAGTGGCTTTCTTCAATTACGCGACTGTTGCTGGAGGGAAGGCTCTGGCAAATATTATTACCACCATATATTTCTGTCAGATTGCTTTGTCAGCCACCCAGAGAGCCAAGAGTCTAGTCACATACAATGATTCATGGAAAAAGGACACCTGGAAATGTAATCTGTGGCTCAGCTAGGTTTATATGTGTTTGTTTAGGGATAAAGGATGACATTTACACTCATTATCATTGTGGGAAGCTCCATAAGATTATATAGCACATAAGAAATGTGTTAATAATAGTGAAACTAAGCATATGCACAGACCAGTAATAAACTCAGAGAGATATATAGTCTAGCAATAAACTTGGATACATTATGGTCTATTACAATTGTATATTAAATGTTTCGTTGTGAAACCAAACCTTTAATATACAACTAAATACATACCTGTTTAACATACATATGCAACTATAAGGCATGAAGATATTACAATTTTAAATACTGCAAATATATATACATACATACCACATATTTTGCACAACGTTTACTGAAAATGCACTAAAAGGAAATGTTTATAGGCTGAATGTAGGCCTATACTTTGAAACCCTCACAAGGAAGTAGTAACACTTTTGTTAACTGGCCAAGCATGCATGGCTACAATTGCAATAATTGCATTCATAAAAAGAATAATTTAAAAGGTAACAACAGAGGTAATCATCACGTTGACTCATTTATAATGGCTTTATGTTTATTTGGTGTGATTAGCATTAATGTAGCTCTCACCTGTATATGAATGACACCTTGTAGACCCCCAATCCGGCCCTCAATGGAATGGACACAGGAGCCGCAGGTCATGCCCTCGACCCCCATAGTCACACGACACAGGTTAGCGCTCAACGCCATTCCTTCTCTGGAAGAGGAGAGCAAACGAGACGGCATGTACAAGCTTTCTGACCCACCAGAGCAAACCTTCAACCACTTTAGACATCAAATAGTGAAACAAATATGACCAAATATTTATAATAATAGCATATTTGAAAGACAACTGCATGAAAGGCATTTTAAGGTACTTTATACTTTGAAACCCTCACAAGGAAGTAGTAACACTTTTGTTAACTGGCCAAGCATGCATGGCTACAATTGCAATAATTGCATTCATAAAAAGAATAATTTAAAAGGTAACAACAGAGGTAATCATCACGTTGACTCATTTATAATGGCTTTATGTTTATTTGGTGTGATTAGCATTAATGTAGCTCTCACCTGTATATGAATGACACCTTGTAGACCCCCAATCCGGCCCTCAATGGAATGGACACAGGAGCCGCAGGTCATGCCCTCGACCCCCAGAGTCACACGACACAGGTTAGCGCTCAACGCCATTCCTTCTCTGGAAGAGGAGAGCAAACGAGACGGCATGTACAAGCTTTCTGACCCACCAGAGCAAACCTTCAACCACTTTAGACATCAAATAGTGAAACAAATATGACCAAATATTTATAATAATAGCATATTTGAAAGACAACTACATGAATGGCATTTTAAGGTACTTTAAAAAATACCATGGTATTATCAAGACCAAAAGATAGTACTTTTTAAGTAGTTTTTGCTAACAAACTGTTAACAAAATGTTAATAACAGTCTCATAAAATAAACTTGACTGTCCTAACAAGTAAGCATAATAAACACCTTGTGAATGTTACTGATACATTTGGATTATTTAGAATTTAATTAAAGCCTCCCTTCCAGGAAAAAATAAAACACGAAATAAATCAATATTTACACCATTTTTTACATCACAAGCCTGTTTATATATGTTAATACAAGACTACACAACGACAACAAAATTGAAAATAATAATAATCGGTATTTTATCTCTAACGCTTTGAATAATGAAAATGTATGACCAGGGTTTCTGCAGACATGAACAAGTTAAATGTAAGACTTTTTAATACCACCTTATATGAAATGTAAGACCTAAACCGGTAATGGAAATACACATTTTATTACATACATATATGTAATATTTAATGCGTATTAATTAAAAAGAAAACACAATATCATTGCTGTAATAAATGATATTTATTACTACGATATACAGTGAACTTTTCATATCAGCAGACAATATTCCATACAAAATATCCCCGCAAAATAACTGCACCACTGAGATTTTTGGAGTAAACTATTTATTCTGAAGCAATATTTTCATACTTAAATCTGCATATTTACCTTTACAAAGGCCTATTTTTAACCTTTTTAGATGCATGCATCTTCTTACATGTCAAATTATTACAATTTATTAATAAATTCAATATACACTATAGGGCTGCTACCAGTCAGATTAAATAATTTACACCGCAAATAACAATAATTACAACTGCGATAAATAATGTTATGAGATTAATGTTTTAAATGCATTTATGAGTATACAAATAAGACATGTTGAGGGGGAAAAATGCATGCTTTTCAACAAACTTCTCAACTGAACGACCCGTAAGTGACGGTAAGTCACCGAGACATTCATTCAGCTGATTAAGAGTGTTATCATGCATATCTTAAGGACTTTCGTGGACAGCTGACTCATAAAGTTTTTCATATTTTGTGTGGTGGTCAGATAAGTTTAAATAGATGTTTGCCTTTTATGGGCATTTTACCTTTATAAAGCCATTTTTCTATAAGTGTGCATTATCTTTTGAGTCAAATTCTTACATTTAATCAATGAATTAGAATAATAAGACATTTGGGCTGTTACCAAGCAAATATCAACAAAATTCATCTTTGCAATCCAGACATAAGCCGCATCTGAAGTGGCATTTACACAGGACATGAATGCATTTAACCTGCCGTTACAAATGCATAAATAATGTTTTGATATATTAAACATAAAACGTTGAATACTGATATTTGTAATAGTTTTTAAAAAATGAAAAGATACTTTAAAGGGGTCATATGTTGCTTTTTTAAAAGCACCGTGAGATATTGAGCAAAATAGCTCACTTGTCATGGTGTTATTTAAATATATCATGTTATGAATAAACTAAACATCTTGCATTTTTACCTCTGTGTGTTTCTTCTGAGTTTATGTGCGTCACGCTCATTTGTTCTGAAGTCTCGAGACAAAATCTTCGGTCTGTCCAATGGGTCTGTAATGAGACCAAAGATAATTAACACCCATCGAATCCGAATTTAAGACATTTTAAGACTTTATAAGGACACCCTGATGACATTAGGTCTATGAAACAAGAATTATAAACGGTAACATTTAATAAGGTTCCACTTGTTTACCATTAGTTAACCGCATAAGTCAACATACTAGCACTAATGTATTTATTAATCTTAGTTAATGTTAATTTCAACATTTACTAATAAGCCTACTTTATTAAAATCGAACGTTATATCTGTCAGTGCTATTTAATGGACCCGAGCTAACTAATAATAAACAAGATTAGTGTTCGATCTGCCCTCAAGCTAACGTAAACAACAGATGCTAAGCGCACAAAACAGCACGATTTCTTTACCTTTTATGCGACGTGATGACCCAGAGTCACAGGAACAGCGATTTTGAGCCTCGCAGGACGTTTAAGTCACTTGTTAGGGAAGTTTTACTGTCACTTTCACAGTGACAGCAGCTGTTAGCTGGCTAACAACATGTACGTTCCCTCGTCTCGAGCAGCCTCACTTGTATAAAACCTGTCCACATCGAGCGAGACACAGACGTGTGTGGTGTGTGCCCACAGCGGGAGGGTGTGTCCTTACAGAAGTCACGCTGGAAATTGTTAAACCCATACGGATTGTTGGGTTATTATCATAAAGACTGCAACGCACATCTTTCCCAGCGTGTTCAAGAACGTCAACAGCCACTGCGCATGCGCCAAAGAGCTGCGTTCAGTAGGTAGCCACGTATGGGAAGTTTGTGATGGGATAAACTACTGTATTTTTATTTGAGCTCAACATCCACACCACTGTTCTATACGTTTTTTAACAACAAAAAATAAATAAAAACTATATCAGATATATCATATATCAATATCAGAACACTATTTTGTTAGATCGGACACTGAGTATGGCAAGCCGAATAAGCATTAAAGGGGTCATATGATGCGATTTCAATTGTTCCTTTCT